TTCATTTCTATCACTGCAATTTTACAATGTATTACAATCGTCTATGTACTTGCTTCTCTCCCCTACTAAGTTGCAAGCACATAAGGGTAGTATAGTGTAATGGTTAAGGATGTGGACTTTGGAGCCCAACTGCCAAGATTTGAATCCTGGCTTCCCAGCTGTGTGACCTTACTTAAGTTTATTAATCTCCTATGCCTCAGTATCCTTCTCCGTAAAATGGGGACCATCATAACAGTATCTGCCTTCTGAGGGTTCTGCCAGTTGCTGTGTATGTCTATTCCAATGATGCATTCTGGAACTGGGGAAATACCCACAGGATGGTTCCTCACCTGGCCAAGTGTGAGACAGACCTGAGCTAAAACTCTGTTGATCACCTGACCTCCATAAGCCCTAACTCTGACTAATGTACCACAGGGGCCTTTTTGGGTCCCCTGGAATTAGTGTCAATTTGGAGCCGGAAATGTCTGATTATTTCTCTCCCCGTAATGCAGTAGCCCTAGTAAATGGCCAGATCACCTTTTGGGAAAGGCTGGGAGAAAGACTAAGAGTATAACTTCTTGGTCATGTGGCAGGGTCCCTCCTCCAGTGGAACCAGCCTTCCCTTCATTCAAGGTGTCTGGGTCTGTAGACCGGTTCAAGTCTGGGAATTGATTGAGGGAGGTGACTCTGAATGGTGACTCAAGTTCGTCTCTGTTCACTTGACCTAGAATTCTTCCACTTATGTGAATCAAGTAATAGGATGCCCATCCATTTCCTTTCTAGGGACATCATGATTGACTAGCTAATGTTATAAGTTTCTGTGAGCGTAAATGGATTTAAGTGGGTTGAAAAAATTTTTTTTAAATAAATACGGATTTAAATGGGTTGCTATAAGTAAAGCGCCAGCCTGCTACACTAAATGCAAAATAGAAGCGCTTTATCGTTATCACTTCTTTCTGCTCTCAGTGCCTGACCGCAAGCAGGCTCTCAGTAAAGGATTTCAAAACAGGGCAACGAACGTGTCCACGATCTAGGTGCTAGAGTCTCCTTTTGAGACATAAGCAGTGTTCACCTGTGGCTCAGGTAAGCCTGGAGATTCTGGAGCATCCAACATGGGTCTATCTGCCTGGGACCAGGGAGGCTTCTGGGAGAGAACTCACTGGAAGGTAACAGAGAGTCTAAACCTAAAAGGTTGGTTTGAGGCCACTGGGCCAAGGCTAGAAGGGAGTATTATGAACACAGAGCAGAGCAGCCTGGGGTGGGATCCTCAGATTATCTCCACTAGGCTTAGTTATTTGTTTGTGAGTGTAGCTATATGTTCTTATTTCACGTCTAAGGACCTCTAGATACATAGAGCTGAGTTGACATACTTTCAGGGTTTGGCAATGCATCTTTGGTAGCTTATGCAAGACCCCTCTGTTTTTTTCTTTCTTTCTTTCCTTTTTTTTTTTTTTTATGTTTTCCTTCTTCCTTGATCCTTAAACCTATATGAATCCCACAAATTTTCTTTTAAGGATTTCTTACATGTGTTTTAATTTTCAAAGATTAAATCTGTTTACTGCTTTGAGATCTACCTGTCCTTTCTGCTGTACAAACTTATTTGTTGTTTCTTGCTGCCGCTCCCCAGGCGTGGATCTGTTAACTTTCGTCACCAGCGACACTGCAATCAGCATCCCTGCCTAAGCTCTCTCAGAGATTTTTATGAGAGTCTCTCTGAGATGATTACCCAGGAGTGGGATTTCTGGGTCACAAGGCGTGCCCAGATTTAATTTTGCCAAATACTGCCTGCTTGCTTCCCAGAATGGCTGTGCTAAGTCACATGCCCACAACAGTGCTTGGGGCCTCTCATGTCCCTTCACTGTCGCCAGCACTTGAGAGTATGGACTTTTCTTCTTTGTGACGAGTGTGAAGTATTATCTCACCGTTTTAATCATTGTTACCTTATCTGTATTCCCTGCTGGCCTGAGTCTGAGGGTGGCTGGCCCACACAGAAGGTACATCTATAGTCTTAGCATTCTGCTCAGTGCCTGCCACATATTAGGTGTTTCGATTTATACTATTGAACAAATGGAGAATTACTCCCTCGAGCAGCCCTCCTGAGCTCAAGCTTGACTCCTGGGAAGGAGGACGAGTCATGAGTGAGCAAATAGCAAGAGCTGTTTCGCTAAAGTCTCAGAAAGCTGTTGGCCAAGAGGAAATTCCTGAGGGACTCCCAGAGCGGCTAGAGGGAATGCGAGGGAGTGGGTGTTTCCCCAGAGCCAAAAAAGAGCCACTGGGCTGCAGAGCCTGACGTCTGTGTTCCTCTAGAAAATACGGGCTCTGCTGAGATCAGGAAACATGGCAGGAGCCGCCAGGCAGAATCCCCAACCGGACCTGAGTACCAAAGGGGCACGGAACAGCTGCCGCTGCGTGGTTGGACCACAAGGACCTTTGTCACAACAGCTGCCGCTGCGTGGTTGGACCACAAGGACCTTGTCACATGTTATTATTATTATTATTATTTTCTTCTTCATCATCATCATTATCATCATTAAAATTGGGGATTAAACAGAAGCCACATTTCTCCAAACTATTAGGAGCAAAAGTCTCCCAGTGAGGCTTGCACAGAACCGTTGACTGTCAAGGGTCTAGGAGATGCTTTTCAACTGGAGGCCTCAGTTTCCTTGTCTATAAAGTGGGGACAGTAATGGTGCCTACCTCATTGCCCAGCATGTAGTAAGCTCTCAGTGAACACTGGCTTTGAAAGACTTTCTCGCAGGCTTGGCACCAATGAGGGCTAGGAACGTAAGGGGCAGGTAGCCTGGCCTTCCTCGGGTTGGAAAGATTGGGTCACTCTACCTATGGCCTCCCTTTTCTGGTTCCCATGGACCCTCTTGTGACTTAGGTACCCACATACCCTCAAGTCAGCAAACTCCTATAGGAGCACTGAGGACACAGGAAAAAAACAGACTGAATTCTGCCCTTGAGGGGCCCACAAGCCTGTGGGAGACACACACTGGGCAGAGCAATGAGGCTCTGATGAGGGTAAAAAAAACACAAACTGCCAAGGGAGCAGAGAAAGACCCCCATCCATGCATCCTCCCCTCTCTGTCCCTTCTAGCTCTGTTTGAAGGTCACTTTCCTCACCTGCAAAATGGAACTCGGGATTGTTTTCAGGTTCGAGAAACACTCGGGATTGTTTTCAGGTTCAGGTTTGAGAAAATGGGTTGGCGAGAAAGAACTTTCTAGATGGCCAAGTGTATCTAGACAGATGACCAGGACTACATTAGGGAAGCAGAGACAGAGTGATATTAATGGTGAGTGGGCTGTTTCTCCAGGGCAATTTAAACTCCTGTGGCTTTAAGTAACTTTCAAGTAAAGGAATGATGCTTTTAGCGGCCCATTCATTGGGCAGGGTAAGGGATAAGGGCAGGTAGGAAGGGAGAGAGGGGGCTGAAATTTGGTTGTTCATCCTGTTTTCTAGACTGCCAGGACTTGAGTGATGGGAGAGCCAGGAGCAGAAGCAGATGGAATCCAATCGCTATCTTCCCCTCGCATAAATTCCTGGAGACCAAGGAGCTGAGGGTCCTTGCAAAGTGTCAGTATTATTTAGAGGACAGCCTAGGCTGCTATAATGGTGTGGGCAACGTCATTGCTTCAATAAGACACAGCTGTGTTTTTTTCTCATGTACCAGTCCAGGGAAGTGGTCCAAGGCTGGCATGGCAGCTCACCGGTGCTGGGCACCCGGGCTCCTTCTATTTTGTTGCTCAGCCATCCCTATGGGGTTGTCTTTATCCACATGCCCTCAAGCCACAAAATGGCAATTTGTCTGTCATTCCAGGCAGGGGAAGAGAAAGAGAGGAGGGGCTGGAACACTCTTTTCCTATTAAGGGCATGTGGTAGCCAGCCTCTAAGATCGCCCCCATGATATCTGCCTCCTGGTATTCATGACCTTGTGTCATGCCCTTCTACAGCAAGTAGGGTGGACCTGTGTAACCAGTTGGATATTTCAGAAAAGACAGTGTGACAGCGAACGTGATTTCTGAGGCTACGTCATAAAAGACATTGCGGCTTCCACCTTGCTCTCTTGGGTCAGTGGCTCTGCGGGAAGCCAGATGCCATGTCATGAGGACACTCAAGTGGCCCTGTGAAGAGGTCCACATGGTGAGGAACTGAGGCCTCCCACCAACAGCCAGCATGAACTTACCGGCCATGTATGTGTGGGAGCCTCTGCAGCCCAACCGACATCCTAACTGGAGCCTCGCCACTCAGCTAAATTCCTGACTCACTGGAACTATGTGAGATAATATCTATTGTTGTTTTAAGTTGCTAAATTTGGGAGTAATTTGTTACTCAGTAATTGATAATGATATAGGTCACCACTCAGAAGGTGTTCCCATCATTTTCACTCACATTTATTGCCTTAACCTAGTCACGTGACCATGTGAAGCTGCAAGGAAGTCTGGGAAAGACAGTCTTTGGTTGGACAGCTTTGTGCCCAGCAAAAACTTCAATGACTGAGGTCCTTAACTTAATTACAACTGCAAAGTCCCTTTTTCCATGTAAGATGACACAGTCACAGGTTCCAGAGATGAAGATGTGGACATCTTTGGGGGCCATTATTCTGCCTGCCACAGTGCAGAAGCTTGTATGTGAATGTTCTTAGCAGCTTTATTCATAACAACCAACAAATGGCCCAATGTCCTTCAATGGATGAATGGTTAAATGAACTGTGGTATATCCAGACCATGGAATACTACTCAGCAATAAAAAGAAATGAACTATGGACACACACGACTTGGTTATACCTCAAGAAAATTATTCTGGTTAAAAAAACAAAACAAAACATGCCTTTGCAATAACATGGATGGACCTAGAGGTTATTATGCTGAGTGAAATAAGTCAGACAGAGAAAGACAAATACCATATGATTTCACTTATATGTCGAATCTAAGGAACAAAAAGAACAAACTAGTCAAAAACAGACTCACAAATATAGTGGACAATTTGGTGATGGACGGAGGGGAAGAAAGTTGGGGGGCTGGAAGAATGGAGTAAAGGATTAAAGAAGTACAAATTAGTAGTTGATAGTTGGGCACGGGGAGCATGGCGCAGGGAATGCAGCTAGCATTAATACGATGGCTAAGTGGAGGGCCAGGGGAGGGAGGGAGCAATTGGGGGGCATTGTTTTATGAACAGTATAGATCTCTATCCAATATACTGTATACTTGAAACTAATTTAAGTAATAAATTTATTTAAAATAAAAACAACAACAATGAAAAAACATGCCAATTGCAAGAGGCTACATGCTGCATGGTTCCATTTATAATATCTATGAATGGACGTCATTATAGAGGTGGAGCATAGAGCTTGCCAGGGGTTAGGAATGGGTTGCAGAGGGTGGCTGTACAGAAGTGTCTTGTGGTGATGGTACAGTTAAGTATCTTGATTATGGTGGTGGTTACATGAAGCTACACATGATAAAATTGCATAAAGCTATATACACACATGTAAACAAATGCATGTATAAGTGGTAAAATCTGAGTGACCTCTGTGGATTACACTAATGTCGATTTCTCGATTTTGATATTAAACTATAGTTATGCAAAATATTAACATCGAGGGAGGCCGGATGACTCGATAATTATTTTGAAATTGAAAAAAAAAAAAAGAGTGCTGGATTGCCAGACTGGACACCTGAGTTTCTGGGTCTAGTTCAGGTTCTTTCCTTAACTCGCCTGAGGCAATTCCACTGCTATCTCTGGGACACTATTAGCCCATCTGTGAAATGGGAATTTTGGCTTATGTCACTGGCTTTCAAAGTTTAATCTTTAACAGTGAAACCCTCTGTTCCAAAGAAATCTTACACTGATGTAGACACTGTCAGCACCCCGATATTGTGAACCCCAGTGGGACTTCTGCCAGTACCTGTAACACTTTGCTGGAGGGCTATACCTAAAACCAGTCCTCACTCCTTGGGCAGGACAACTGGGACACTGGCTCCCAGAGGTCCCCAGCTGACGACGGCGGAAACTGGCTTGGGAGCGTATGCTTTATCCATTGTCTTCTCTCTGAGTCTCATTTTCCCACTCCTCCTCTACCCGAGTTGCTTGGGAGCATCATCCAAATAAACAACCTGTATTCAGGTCCTTGTCTCAGGCCCTGCTTCCGCTTCCAACCAAATTAGAATCCCCAAATGCGAAGCAAATAACAGCCGTGGTCCCAGGAGGCAGGAGGGCCAGTGAGAGCTGTGCCATGCGGGGACCTTCCTGGAGGGGTGGGCCTGCACATGGACCTTGAGCGATAAGTAGATTTTGAAAAGGAAGACAGTAAATAGGAAGGCACAACTGGAGATGGAACTTCATGAACCAAGACAGCAGGAGATGAGACCCTGCTGTCCCCATCCTCCGTGCTGACCAAGTCACTTTTAGTGGCAGCTCTCACCATATCTTTCCTTTTCACTCAAGACCATGTTCCTCTTTTGACCAAGAAAGTGACCCAAAAGGGATCGTGGTCACTTCCTTATCGGGCCTGTGGTGGAGGCAGAGGACACGCACTAGGCCCTTTCCCAGCTCCCGCGGCCCCAAGCCACTTCTCCAATGAGGATTCCCAAGTCCCACTGGGGGCCACTGCAGGGCACCTCCCAAACTCCAAGTCAGATGAAGGAGCCCCGAGCAGTGTGCTGAGGTTATACCCTAATGCCCGCTGAGCAGCGCGGTCCCAGGAGAGAGAACTGGGAAGGGAGTCCAGCTGCCCACTGTAGCGTGACCTCACGCAAACATCTTCATCCTTCTGAACTTCTATCTCTTCAACAGTATCCGCATACCAGGATCATGGGACAGGATATGTGAAAGGGCTTCATAAACCACAAACCATAAACAGCCGTACTGTTCAGCTGTGAGTTACCATTCTGAAGAGAGCAAAACTCTGTCCTCATTCCACACTGTGTCCCAACACCTGGCACACTGCGTGACACCTGGAAGGGGCTCCGTTAAATGCTTGCTTGCTGAATGAACGAATGAATAAATGGATGAGCTTGGATATGTTATCTAGTTCAACAATTCGACCAACAAAGTACTGCTAAGGGCATGTTATGTGCCAGGAGCTGGGCTGGCCATGGAGGAAAATCACAAATCAGAGATGAGATTTCCTACTCTTAAGAGCTTATGGCATCAGAGAGGAGCAACCCCTTTTCAAGGCCCGTGTACGTATGTCTGGGAATCCTCTGCCCATCTAACTTGAGTCTCAACTCCAAGTCACTGCTCAGCCTGTCACCTGTGGAGGCTGAACTTTAGGGCAGCTCCCTGATCCTTCCTCCTGGTGTTGACACCGTTGTGTAATTCCCTTGAGTATGGGGAGGGCCACAATTTGCTTCTAACCAACCAAACGTGGCAAAGGTCATGGGGATGTACCCAATTACATGTATGTGACTCCATTACAGAATCTTCTTGCAAGGAGGCTCTGTCTTCCTTGCTGGCGTTGATGAAGCAAGCAACCAAGTTGGGGAGCCCATGTGGCAAGGAACTGAGGGAGGTCTCCCACTGACAACCAGCAAGAAGACCTTCAGGCTGACAACAGAAACAAACTGAATTCTGCCAACAACTGTGTGAGCTTGGAAGTGGATCCTTCCCCAGTCTGGCCTCAGATGAGACTGAAGGCCCAGCAAACACTTTGTCCCTCTGTGAGACCCTGAGCAGAGGACTGAAATAAGCACTGCCCATATTCCTGACCCACAAAAATGGTGAGATCATAAATGTTTGTGGTTTAAGCCTCTGAGTTTGTAGTACTTTGTTATGTAGCAGTAGATGACTATACATCCTTCTTTCCTCCCAAAGTGCCCTCGTTCCGATTCATCATCTGGCCAGTCTTCTTCCGTGGAGTCAGTGCATGTTGCTTTTGCTTTCCCAGCATGCCATTCTTCTTCCTCTGGCACCACAACCGGTTTCCATGTGGGGAACCACCTCCTTCGCGCTATTGGTCCATTTCTTTCCCATGGGGCTCATTCTACCCTCTGGCTCCAAGGGTTGACACGTGACCCTGGATTCAGCCAATCAGATGAATTCTTCATTCATCTGGCCATCAGCAATAGGTTCAGGGATGAGCATGTAGCCCATATTGGTGCATCAGAATTTTAACACTGGACTTTTCCTGAGTTTGTTAAACCAATGAAATATAATACAGTAACTCGAGGGTCCATTTGTGCCACTGTGCAGAGAGCACCCACTTCAATCTCTTCTATCTCTTCAATCTCTTCTATCTCTTCTATCTGGCCGATAAGTAGGAAAACAGTTGAGATATGGATGGAGACAAACCCTTATATGGTTCACTCGAGCACCTGGATCCAGCCTTGTCTGAATCTAGAGATCTACTTCTGGACGTTCTGCTGATGTGAGCCAATAAATTCCATTGTTTCTTTAAGCCCGCTGAGTCAGATTTCCCTCACTTGCAAAAGAGAAAGTCCTGATTCAAACTCTCATATCTATAGATATCATTCGATAACCTCCCTCCTCAAGGAAGCCTTCCCTGAACACTCCCAGGGGCTTCTCCCTGCTACAGTGCTCTCCTCACGGAGCATTTCATTTCATCCTCTCCTGTTATTCTTCAGCGTTTTCGATGTGAGTTGTGATACTCCAACGAGATCAGAAGCATTTTTCAAGACCTTTCTCTCCTGCCAGGCACATAGTAGGTACCGAAACGAAACGAAACCAAAAAAATACCATTTGAATCAAAATGCAATGTTGTAAAGAGGTAGCTTAAAAGAAAGGAAGTTCTCATTCCTGCACCGAGCATAGGAGTGTGTTCAATGGACTGTCCCAGTCATTCCCAGGAGCTTTAGGTTCAGGGAGGGGACTCAGGTGCACACAGTGGAATCCGTGCTATCTAGAAACTAGAAAAGGAATGTACTAGAACAGTGGTTCTCAAACTTGAGCGAGCATCACCATCCCCCTGGAGGGCTTGTTAAACAGGGATGGCCGGGCCCCACCCCATAGTTTCTGATTCAGTAGGTCTAAGGTGGGCCCAAGAATTTGTATTTCTAACAAATTCCCAGTATTGCTGATAAGTTTCTAACTGCAGGTCCTGAGATGGCACTTTGAGAATCATTGGATTAAAGGCCATTAAGAAGATTACAGAACCAGTAAGGGAAACAGAGAGTCAGGCGTGGAGGTTATACAATAGGAAGCAACCCCGAGCCACACTATGGGACAGCTTGAGGGAAGAAGACTCACCTTAAGGTGGCCACCGCTGATCCCAGGTGCTGGGCACCTACCATCCCCACCATTTATCGCTCTTACTAGAAAATGGGTTTGGCCTGCCCCCACACCCTTGCCTGCAGCTCACTCTCCTGGGTGTTGAAATCAAACCCCTGAGACCTCCTTCTAGGTGAGTGCAGGGGTGAGAACAACTGCTACGTCAGGGAGCTTAGTCACATTTGGGAGCCACAAAGCTCAGAGAGAGGAGGTCATTTGCCTGAGGACACCCAGAAAATCTGGATTTGAATTCAGGTTGGCCTGCTGGCAAAGCCCAGGTTTTTCCACAATAAAGCCTGGTTATTTAAAGTCTTTCATGCCTCCTTGAGAAATGTCCCATCCCAGAAACATATATTAAGACCCTTAAGAATTTCTGGATGTGACTGGGGGAAGGTGGGCAAGGGCTTTCCCAGGAGTCTGTCACAAGTCAAGGCCCCAGGGGATCTGTCTCTGTGGCTTGGGGGAGCTGACCACTCCCACACTGGGCTGGGCCCAGCCAGCTTCCTCCAGGCTCTAGTGGCCTGGCTGATACCAACCAGGTCATCAGTGGCCATGATGGCAATATTTGTTGGTCCAATTTTTTTTCTTTTTTTTTTTTGCATATGAAAATTTATGGCTACTGTGTTTTCGCCATTGAAACTTATAATCTTGGTTTTTCCTTCTTGCCTTTGTATAAATCCAAAAGAGAGACGCCGGCTACTTTGACAACCTTGAAGAGGACTCCAGGAATGTCACCAACAGCATGACCTTTGTGACCAAATCCAGCAACCAGAACTTCATCATTTTCCTCAGTAAAATTCAAGCGACCATACAAAGGCTGTGATCATTCTGCCATTGTCGATCAGCGGGACCCTGACACTTCCTGGTGGCAGAATTGGTTGTTTGGCTTCAACCCCTACTTTTTCCAGCACAGTTCCCTTTGCACGGGACCCGCCTCCACAAGGGTTGGCCTTCAGGGCTGTACCCAGATGGGCTTTCTTGCACTGTTTATCATGCCACTTCCGATCTCGCCGATGGCTCCAAAGCTTCCTGGCAGTACGAAGGCCGCAACACTCGCCCATTCCGCCGGCACCAGGGGCCTAAGCAAAAGGGCTTGTTGGTCAGGTTGACGTGATGCGGACCCCAGGCCTGCAGGCCTCACAGCACAGACACACAGAAAACCTAAAAGAAAGTCTGCAAGGTCTGGGAGGCTCAGGTGATTTTCCTGGGCCTCTCTTGCCTGTTCTCTGTTTCTCTTTGTCCACGTGTCTCTCTTTTTCTCGCACTCGCTGACCATTTGTCTCTAACTCACGTACCCTTTCCTGTTTCTCTGACTCTTGCCTCTTTGTCTAAGCATCTGATCCTCTCTCTCTTCTCTCTCCTCTCTGTCTCTGCTGTGCTCTCTCTCTCCCTCTGCCTCCCTTCCCCTTGGCCCTGTCCTTCCTCTTCTCCCTGCCTCCTTCTTCTCTCTCCCCTTGTCCTCTCCCTAACCTCCCTTTCCTTCCCTCCTCCCTCCCCCTGGAGCTCATGCACAGCGACCCAGTGGCCTCTCTGAGAGACAAGGCTCCCTAGGGGCCCGGCAGGAAGTGCAGTTTCCCCTCTGACCCCATCAGCTGGCTGTGGGGGATGCAGCTTTCCTCCCACCCTGTCCACGCAGGCAGGATGTGCAGGCTCCCTGGGGCTCGGGATAGCGTGTATAACTTTTGGGGGGCTCTGAGGACAGCCTTCACCAGGAGGGCAGAGAGTAAAGGGCCAGGCTGTAGGGGAGGAGAACCCCACTTTTGATGAGCACCTCCTGGGTGTTGGCACTGGACCAAGTCCAAGGGGTGGGGCGTCAAAGGCCAGAATCCCTTTCCTGGAAGACAGGACATATAAGGGCAAGGAGCTGGGGGCGGGGGTTGGGGGGTTGGCAAGAACTGAAGCTTGAGAGGCAAAAATGGTCTCTGCAGAGGTGGGGGCTTCCGGGCATCTGAGAGGATAACTATCCTCGCAAACTTAAGCAGCTCTTCATTATTTTTTTTTGGACTGTTAATATACTTTTACGTCCACTGGGTGACCATTAAGGCAGGCGGTGTGATATGTTAGAAAGCATCCAGGGGTCAGAATCAGAGGTCTGGCTTCCAGTTCCATTTCCACCTTGCTGCGTTCATGACCTTGGACAAGTCGCATCACCTGTCCCAGACTGTTTCTTCAGGTATGAAGTAGGAGTAAAAGCTTTGCTTACTGTAATGCTACATAGAGAATGGATGGGAAGTAAAGGAGTTAGAGGAGGGTAAGGAAACTAACATTTACTGATCTATTGTTGCTGAAAACAAATGACCATGAACTTGGCTTAAACCACACATATTTATTATCTTACAGTTCTGGAGGTCTGAAGTCCAACACATATTTCACTGGGTTAAAGTCAAGTGTTAGCAGGGCTGTGTTCGGAGGCCCTGTGGAAAATCCATTTCTTTGTCCTCTTCCTGCTTCTAGAGGCTTCCCACACTGGTTGGCTCCAGGGCCCTGCCTCCATCTTCAAAGCCAGCCGCATTGTCCCTCGTTGTCCCTTTCCGAGACCATTCTTCCATAGTCACATCTCCCTGACTTTTTATCTGCCTTCCTCTTCCCCATTTAAGGACCCCTGTGAGTCTATTGTAATCATTATCCAGGTAATCCAGGATAATCTCCTTTTTTTTTTTAATTGAGATACAATCGATATGTAACATTGTATTGGTTTCAGGTGTATGACATAATGATTTGATATATATATTGCAAAACGATGCCCACAATAGGTCTAGTTAACATCCATCGCCTCACAGTTACATTTCTTTTCTTGTGACAGGAACTTTTAAGATCAAAACTCTTAGCAACTTTCAAATATACGGTATAGTATTGTCACCTATAGTCACCATGCTAATCTCCATATTTTAAGGTCAACCTTAACTCCATCTGCAACACTACTTCCTCTTTGCCAGGTAACCTAACTCGTCATGGGCTCTAGGAATTAGGACTGTGGTCATCTCTGGGGGCCATTTTTCTGCCTCTCACACCCTGTGAAGGGAGAAGTTTTTACAGGCTCCATCTTGTTTTAATCTTCCTCAAAACTCTGGGAGGAGGATGAGTGTTGTTAACTCCATTTTACAGATGAGGACATTGAGGTCAAGATCATACCAACATTAGGTGGTGGAGTGGAAATGCCAATGCGGGTCTGTCTGACCTCACAGCTCACACTCTTCCCACCTCCTCACGATCCTTTCAAACCTCCAAGATGCTATAGAAGAGCGAGAAGTTATTTCATTCATTTAATGAGTTTGCGGAGAACTTACTATGTGCAAAGCAAAATGCTGAATGCGCAGGATGGATGCTCAGAAGATTAGGATGTAGGCTTTGCCTCCAGAGGAATTTATAGTCTGTTGAGGGGAAGAGAAGATAAACCCAAATGCAGGGAGGAGAATGGGGGGAGAGAGAGTGAGGGGGACGAGAGGAATGGCCTCTTGGCTGCCGATTAGGACCCTGGTGTAGGAGGGCTGGTTTTAGGCTCAAAGTCCAGCTCTACTGCTTCCTAGGTGTGCATCCTAGAGCAAGTGAGACTGTTTTCTCATCCGTAAAATGGGATTAACAGCATTCACTGTTTCATACATAGAATGGTCTGTCGTGAAGCCTAAGATGTTTGTAAAGCATTGACCAGGTGCCTGGTGAACTCAATAAAATCAGCTGTTGTCATCATTATTATCAGGATTCTGATCAGGATTCAGGGATACGTCAGCAAGATGAATGGCACTGGATGCTTGCAAATGTATTCTTTTCTTGGAGGGGGGTGAGGATGGGGAGTAAAAAGGGCACTGAATCAAATGAGCACTGGGAATCAGAAGACCAAGGTTGGAGTTCTTGATTGCTCCCTGGTGACTGAGGAGCCACGAGCAAGTGGCTTCTTTACTCACTACCTTGGTTTTCTGGTTTTCCATCTTGAAACAGGATAATAAAGCCCGCTGGCCTTGTGGGAGGCTCAAATCATATTAGTTACGAGTGCATTTTGCAGGTTATGAAGAACCATCCAGATGTAAGAGCCGTCTTTACATCATTTTCCCAGGAGCCATCTGCAGAATGGGACCGCCGCTGGATCTCTGGACACTGAGGTGATGCTCCGGCAAGTGCTGTTAGACAGCACGGTCATGGTCACATGGTCACGGTCACATGGATCATGCAACACTCCAGGTGCACAGAGGTATTGCTATCTGAGAACCTCAGAGAACCTGGGTGACACGTTTGCAGAGTGGGGTTCAGGGTCTGGGTCAGGACTGGGTCTGCTGCTCCTCCACCTGCCCCATCCCACTCCAGGCATAAACAGCAATCCTGGAGCAGGCCCGGGGCAGCCATCCCACAACCCTACTGCCAGGGGCCTTGAGAGGTCGGCTACTCTGGCGGTTTCTCAATGTTATCTATTACTAGAGAACTGTTTCTCCAAAGGACACTCTATCTAGAAGCCCAGTGAAAGGAGACGTTCACTCCCCTTTCCCGAGCCTGTCCTTCTCTTCCCTCCCCTGAGGCAGTGGGCCTAGCCCTTTCCCCAGCCTGTCCTTCTCCTCCCTCCCCTGAGGCAGTGGGCCTAGCCCTTAAAAGAGAGAGAGAGGCTCTGAAGCCCCAGGACTGCCCCTGCACTTACCTGCCGTGCCCTTGAAGGAGCTGCTTACCCTCCCTGGCTTCCGCCCTCATCTGTGCTATGGGTACGATGATAGTACAGTTGCAGGGTTGTGAGTAAATGTGAGCGAGTCCCCGTAGCCGTTCCACAGCCGCACCAGGCCCCTGGGTCACACTCCTCGAGCTCCCTATTTACTTCGCATATGCTGAGGCCCAAGCACAGGTGCAAATCCTCAGAGGCCTGCTCTCTGCCCCACACCTCACTCCCCTGCCCTCACACTCCGCCTCTGCAAACTCAGATGGAGAGCCTCATGAGTGGAGAGCCTCATCGGTGCCCGGCTGGGCTGGCCCTCACAGGAAGGCTCTCAGGGACCGGACTGGCCCTCCTCTGGGCAGCTCTGAAGACTGGAGCCCAGTCTCCAGGGGGAGGTCCCAGGGACTCACTCTAACATTCTAGGACTCGTTGGGGCTGCTTGCCTTGGGGCCTGCAGCGGGCAGGCCTCAGCCCACCAGTCCCCAGGTGGCCCTTTGCAGACAAGAGGGCTCTTTGCCAGCACATCCGGTGGCACAGGCACTGGCAGCCGAAGGAGCTGGGTAACCTGGGCGGGGTGTCTGGGTTCAGGCTTAATTTCTCTTTCGAGGCTGC